GATATCCGAACTTTAGTTTACAACCTATAGGAGTTTTTTTTTCTAATCAGTTAGCGAGCATCATATACGCACTCAACATTTCCAGGAATTTTTAACACGCATAGTAAATTGATAAAATACTAGCAAATTTTCTTAACACAACAGGTTTCGCAGAAATGTGTTACCTAGATAATTGTAGATCTTTTTAAAGGAACCCATTTTCTTAAGTAAATGGACAGGAGTTTTGCCTACAAGATGTATACTCACAATTTTATTTAGATTGATCTACCTAAAAAGTCATGTAACTGAATGTTTAAGTTTACTGTACAAATTACAGACTAAATTTTATGCAGTTTCAATTTTATCACACAGGACTTCTTAATTTTTCTCCACCTCAATCAAAGGTTTTAAGGGGCTCATTGTAACATCACCAGCAGCATCTAAGACCATAGATTGAATTGCAACTAAAAAAACAAAATGCAGCTGAAACCCTGGAAAAGCTCGCCATTTTTATACAAATTACGACCTCTTTCGACCCTGATTCCTCTCCATGACCCTCCAATTTATTAACCCCCTCTTGTTGAAAGCCCCTATCGGATATTAGCACTTCCACCGAAGCATACATTATTAACTTAACCCTTTTCCACCAATCACCAGAAACTCTCCCATCCGATTAATTTGTGATATCAGAAGCTCCGTACGATCCGAGGACTAGTGTCCAAAAAAAATTGAGATCGAAAACTTCACATCCTCAGCATCCTCCGACACCCTTTCTAACTAAGAAAAGTGAGGGTCGGCAGAGAAAAATTTTTAACTTTTTGTCTGATGTGAATAAATAAAAACAAAAGAATCTAATCATATATCATTATCAAAATTAACCAGCTTCTGCAATCATAGACTTTACATTGCCATAAGCACACTTTAAACCCGTTAAAAATAAAATAAAAGCCGAAATGCTCAGATGAATGATCTACTTCTTTACAAGGATGCTTTGTTTTGCCTTCCATCTTCCTGATTCCCACAAACTTAATTATCAAATGATGACTACTCTGAATTATCATTTTCAATGTAGTATAACTTAGCAGCGAAAACCCAGCACAGACGTCATCAATTATTACGATCATCACAATCATCTTTATAACAAATTTGTTTACGACTATTATACTGACAATGGAGGTACTTAGCATATTGGTAGGGCGTTCTCTTCGAGATCGTCAGATCGTGTAATTGATCCCCTGCCTTGGCAATGATGGTGTGTGAGGACGAGCTCTCACTTGACCTCTAGCTCCAGGTCAACCACATCCTGACCCATTACTTCTGCAAATGTGGTACCACGTGAAAGTTCTAGACACAAAAAAACGGCCACGAATCGCAATAAAATAGCTTCGATCATCAACATAACTCAGCCTGGAATCCGGGGAAATAAAAGAAGCAGACTATGCATAAGCAGGCTGAATAGCTTTTCATAGATACTATGCAATTCGCAGAAACCGCAATTACAAAGAAATGAAAAAAAAACAAACAACCAATATTATTGTTCGCATTGGTTACCTATTCCCAATACCCTAAATTCTCCAATGTCACGTAATCACGGTTTTTAATTAAAAAACACTAAAATTTACGTTTATTCCTCAGTAAACAAAAATCGTTTGAGTCAGTTTGAAGCTTTTCTACCTCTCGTGAAAAAAAAAACAATTAAAAATGAGGTGAAAATTAATTACCATCAAAACTAACTTGCAAAGAAACATATTTAAGAGATGTACAAAAACACCACAATCAGTTGAAATCATTGACTTAACTACTTCATCGTTATCCTTTGGCTAAGTCTCAATAAAATAATCTCATTTCTTAGACCACCCTTCATTTGTGTACTTCCCACAAGTGGCCGCAGCCATTAGTTAGCGTGTCCTGAGCGTGCTCTTAAGCCGTCCTAACCCATCGTGCTGAATCACGCTCTGACAACCAATATTAATTTATATTCGGAGTGGTTCCGTTGTGAACTAACAAACTGATAATAGTCTTCTGCAAAAGGACCTTTAAGTTTAAAATGAAACCTAACAAATTGCAAAGCAGTAATTTGTATGTTTTACAATGAGTGTTTCAAGCCAGACTTTAAAAACAACATGATAGCAACACAAAACCACCTCAAAAACAGTTTGGGCGTTCGTGCTGAGCAAAAACTCATCAAGTGACAATCACACATGAATGCTATTGAAACAGAGCAATTTTGACCAGTATCCTTACACAGCCTTTTTTAGTCTGCCTGATTTGGGACGCTTGAAGGGAAAATCCGCGCCCAAATTTACGATCTTCCTTTCAGAGAAAAATTGTATAAAACCGGCAGTTATGACCCTCTCACGCCGACTGAAGTGTTTCTTGTTCAACAGCTACTGCATAGCAATTATAACCCGAGAACACGAACAACAAAAGGATGCAACCCACATTCAAACACCGATTGAACATTTAATATAGGAAGAATCTCTTCAAAATATATTAAAACAATATAAACTGTTAAAACTTTCAGTAAACCCCGGACAAGTGAGACCCAATCGGAGTCTCTTTAACGGTTTTTCTTGCTTTATATACTTTTGAATATGATTGTAAAGCCTTTTTATTTACCAATCAGATTTCATAAGTGACGTTTTACATTGTTTTTTTTAAAAATAAATGTTGACTTTTCGCACTGATCGCACTGTTTTTGATTAGAAAAAAAATGATCTCAATCACGAATGGTTTTCGCCCGTTTCTTTAGGACCTTTTGTAACCTCGGAAGTAAGAGTAGTACTAGGATCAATATTGGACTAAGTAATGGCACGAATATGTCTGACCAAAAATAGGCTGCGTGGCAAATAGACGATGTACTCGATCTGAATTACTCTATGAGATAGTTAACAAGTCCCATCCTAATAAGGTTTTTGCACTGATACAAGTAAGTTTTCTTTTAAGTCTTCATTCATGTTTCAGTATCGAAATGCCAATTGAAATTTTGCCTCGTCCGTCTTCAATTTTACGTGATACGGCATTCATCGATGAAAGTTTTGGGTACCGCGCAGTTATTGAGGAGTTTAAAAAGAAAGGACTGCACGGAATCTTGCTCCGTGGTAAGCGCATGTTCAATCACGGGTGCATATTTGTTCCATCTGACAGCGTTAATGGAATAGTGATTATCAAAAATTTATCTTCAGTTGATGAAAAGTCTGTCCAAAACATAGGAAAACCAATTCTAGAGCAGCTGGAGTGGCTAAATAATCGAAAAGTAGTGGATTGCAATTTCCATATACGACTTTGTATTCTCGCCAAAAAACAAAACCTGTCAGAAGAAATTTGCAAAGAAGTTTCAAAATTGGTAATAAGCAAAGAAGGACGCTTTCCTAACTTGGTATTAGAGTCGAATTCGGAGAAACTTGTGTCAATTGAAAGTTTATCAGAAAAACCAGCCGAATCTTCCCGTGACATCAGATGTAAAACACTGCTCAGCCTTATCAAAGAGTTTAGGGAAAACTCTGCTGAATACAGGTTGAACAATTTACCCTTCACAGCTTTCAACGAGCGAGACTGCACATTTAAAGACACTCAAAAAGTTTTGGCGATGTTCGATTCATATTTTCCTCAAAATTTGGACAGATTGGAAATTATTCCGCACCCGGATTGCATTGAAGACAATCTACTGAACAAAACTAAGAGTGAAGTAGTTCCAGATACAATTAGTTCCAAATTCGAAGGCGAAGTTGCCGAGTTTTTCAATCTTTTAAGATTATTCGAAAAAGATCACAGGGCCCATGGAGTCTTTGTCAAAGATGTTTCTAGCGAAATATTCGATCAACATTTGCAGCCTCTTTGCGACTCAATAAGCATTGAGTTTCAGTTCGACTGGCTATTCTGTGGAATCAAAGGACTGTTTCTGTTTGAGTGTAGTTATTCTCAAAACTCAGACAATCCAGAGCAAAGTATAATTAACAAAATCACACAAGTGGTGACAAAACACCTACCAATGCTAGAAATTCTGCTAATAGCAATTTCGAAATCTAACGAAGCTTTGGATTTGACGAATGATGATTTAAGAACAATACTGAACGAACATCTATCTGTAGTCATTTTCCTTCCGAACGTAGGCTGTAACGCAGCGGTGAAAACTTGGGAAGATGTAAAATCAAAACTCGACGAAAGGGTGATAAATTCACTTCAGACTGGAAATGCTCGATCTAGAATAAAATTTCTTTTCAAAAGTGAGCAGAGCGATGGATCCGTATATGATTTAAATTCAATAGGAGAAAGCTTGCAGTTGCTGCCAGAACCATTCAAAATCGAAGATTTTGTATATGAAACCACTGAACAAGAATACAACCTACCTTTAAAATGGGCAATGACAATTTTCTCTCTCAGCGTTTTGAAACTCAACATGTCGGAAGCAAAACAGAACAAGAAATTTTTAACCAACAGGGACAGATTTGGGGAGAATAAAAATCCTCTCAACTTTTTCATCAGCCCACAGCAGAAACGAATTCTCGATGAAAATCGACCGTTTGTGATTCTGGCTGGACAACATGGCTGCGGTAAGACTTCTGTTTTGATGGCAAAAGCGGAAATAGAAGCAAGAAAAGAGAGTGTGAAAAAGATCCTTTATTTTATTCCCGAGGAAAAGGAACCCTTTTACAAGTATCTTCATGAAACCAAAACGTGCTTTGGGTCCGAGCTTTTGAACGCAAAAACTGAATTGGTATTTCTTCGCTTAAAGAGGGATATTCTTTCAGAAGAGAGGCAACTGAAACAGAAAAGGCATCCAGAAAGCATTCACAAACTGTTACACTATCACAAAAATCAGATTTTGCATTTGATTAACAATAAAAAAGATCTGGTAAACCCCAAAAGATAAAAATGGCGAGCTGTAAAAAAGAGGCATAAGCAAGTCAATTTTTTTTCGATTTTGTCCGCTTTTCCAGCTTCGAAATGGTACCAAAAAGGCTTTCAAGTGAATTTTAACTTAGTTTGGGCCAAAAAGGAATGTGTTATAAAAATACAAGCAATTCTGGGACGTTTGCGTGGCTAAATGTAAAAAAAGAGTGGCATTTGAAGATATGATAAGTTAACAAACTCATTTTGAATGCCCTCTGATTTTAAGATGCAAAATTGATGCTAACGTTGCTGATGTTTGGCTATTTGACGAAATTTACAATCTTAACGACATCGTCCCATTAATACGCCAGGGTAAAAACCTACCAAAAGTTTGTTGGATAGCATTTGTTGTAAATGAGTTCACTGCGTATCCAATAGAATCACAATTGTCAGGGTTATATAGACAGCAGGAGCATTTGCGTCCAATTATTTTTCGTAAAAACTCTAACAGTACCAATGATGCTGTGCCAATAGACAATGAGTCAGGAAATGGGTTTGAAATAGAAGCCCTAAGGATCATTTTTCGATGCAGTCGACATATCAGTACACCTTCAAACGAATTGATTGCCGGCAATATTGGGATCCGTCAGACAACTCCTCACAACTGTGGGGTGTTTTGTTCCTATCAGGACAAGTTTAAACTAAGACCCTTGAGTGACTCAATTTTCAGGGATGACTCGTTCCTTGAATCCAAATACAGTAGAGACCGCTTCATAGTAGTGATCCATTCGCCCAATGAAACTTCATCACGCGAACAATGGGATGACGTATTGAACAACAGAAGCGATTACAATGCTGAAAAAGTGTTCTTTATTGATAGGAGTTCCGAAAGCGACTTTTCAACGGGTCTCCATTTCTCTGGATGCGAATCAATGTCTGTTGTGATTATAGATGACGGAAATCAAAGTCATGACAAGGAATTAACAAAGAAATTGGTTTTTTCTTCAGCACAACGTGCTGTCAACGAAGTTGGTGTTATAGCAAATGAAAGCGCCATTAGTTATATCGAAAAATGTCTTACTCAAACTTCAACAACTACAATTTTTGAGAATCTATCAAACGGATGGGCGATACCTGTTGAATTGACTGACCAGCGAATGGACAAACTGCCCCCCAGTTGGGAGCGCAAATTGAACGTACATTTCAGCTACTCGAACAATCGCCAAAACGCTCTAACTAGTTTGCGAAAGAGCAGTAACATCGTCAAATTAAGACTCATTTTGATGGCAAGCCGAACCGGTTTCTTCCAGGGCTTGAATGCAGCAGAGTGGAAAAAGCTGGGAAACAAGAAAACAGGTATGAAAATTAAATAGCGCATAATTCATGGTCCAAAGTTTATCACTTTTTTCCAAATCCTCTTATCCCTTTACATCTTCGAAAACGTTTTAACAAAATCCTTCATCCGCTAAAAAAAATTCAATTTCTAAGAGAAGCTCAAATAACCAATGGATGAATAAATGAGATGCTTAATGACAATGTCATTTTAGAAAAAAATAAATCTAGTTCCTGGGTAAGTTTTCGTTGATTGTAAATATGTCGTATAATACAAATTTGTTCTCGCAAATATTTTACGCGATTGACATTTTAATTAAAAAGTATCGAGCGTTGCTGAGTCAATGGTAATCTCTGCTTCAGTTCATCTCCGCACTTTTCGTCTCCCAATTTTATTGAGCTTCTGTCCTTTCCAACACAGGACTGATTGGGGGTGTGGGGGTGTGAAAGGTTCCCTTCTCAGGGATTCGACCAACTGCCGACCTGTTTTTTCAAAAAATTGCTTGCGGTGTAGAAAAAAATCTCAAAATATGGCCTTTTTTACTGTTCTGGGAGAACTTCGAAATTCAATTTGATCGACCTAAAAAAAGGTCGATCAAACTTCTGAAATTTTTTCAAAACTCCAGCAACCCTTCAAGAAAATCCTTGATCCGCGCCTGGTTTTTGTTGTGACTTTTGAAGAAATTAAGGAAAATATATGCTTGGGATGGTTTTTCCAAATTCAAACCAACTTGCGAATCTTGTAGATCGATCAGGAAATGATGGATTGCAATAGCGAGCGTGCTTGCCGCCAGCCTCAATGCGGATAGATTTGATCGATTAGCAGTGTTGATGCGCGAACTTGTAACGCGTGGCGAATGATTCCGCACTCATGACCGTTTTAAATTAAGGCAAACTAATTGGTCATTTTAATTTAACAAAAATTTTAGCAGTTCATATTTGATATTGCCAGTCCAAAACTTAAATTCTGTTTAAAAACTAATTAACAAATACTAATCGAGATCAGTTAAAGGGCTTTGACCTGATATACAATATGTCCTGCGGTTCCGATTTAAAGCATGAATATTTCCAATACAATTTAAAGCATAGGGATTCCTTTTTTGCGACTATTTTTTTTCAATTTAAACTGAATCTATTCACTGCTGCTTTTGTATAACCAAATAAAACACAACAATTGATATAATCAGAATTAGTCAAACTAGCAAATTTCAAGACCAAAATGACTTGATAGGAAGTGGTAAATGTTCCGGCTAAAAACTATCCCGAACATCAATTTTTGCGTCACGTTTTTAGAAATATTATATTTCATTCCATTCATTTTTGTTCCGACTTTCGATTCGAAAGTAACGGAATATTTGTGCTCGGGGTGGGTTTTTTTTCTTCAGACAATTTTCGACTTTTTAACTAGCCATTTTTGACGGAATTTTTTATAGCATTCGAAAGGTATTGCTGTTTTGAGCTCGAATTTGAAAAGATATTTCACCTGTGATTATTTTTCGTAAAGTTATGTGGGTTTTAAGATTGCCATTTTGGCCAATTTGGGACAATTAACGCGCGATATATTTCGCGCTATTAACGCGTAAGCGGAGAGTTAATCCGTCTTAGAAATCATTCCAAGTTGATTTAATGAAGCTTCTTCGCCATAATTGATTTGTTACAAGTAGCGAAATCTATCCTTATGTACTTTATATGGCGTGTGGGGGGATGATTTTTATTTAAAAATTTCAAAATTTTTGAAAAAAAAATTTCATTTTTTTTATTAGTTTCAATTTTTTAATGATATTACTGCTCCTAAACCTTAATGGGCAGTCGGAACATTCAGGGCTTCGCCCTGATACGAGCAGTCTTCTTAGTTTTAATTTTTATAGAGAGTGAATGGGGTGAATATACATAATCCGATTGTTTTTTTTCAGTATTTTTTAGATTTGTTAAATAGCACACTTCGAAAGAGTTTTTTAATATCATCCGAAAAGTGCTGGTGTCTTAGTCTGAAAATTAAAAAAAAAAATTCAGCTTTTGATGTTTTGTAAAGTTATGGGGTTAAAAAATTGCCAATTTGGCTTATGTGGGAATATTGAAGAGCAATATATTTCAAGCTCTTGGGGCGTAAGCAGCAAATCAATTAGTTTAAAACTGAATTGAAGCAAGCAATTCATTCTTAACAATCATTTATCAGACTCAAAATTGTTGCATTGTAATTCAGGTTGCGTGACAGTGAAAAGTTGAAAAAAATCAAATATAACATAACAGTTTTGAAAATTTCAATAGACAGTCGAAACATTCAGTGCATCACTTGATAGGAACAGCCTTCTCAAAAAATCTATAAAATTTCATATTCGATAAATTGACACATCAAACTTTTCTGCAACCTCTCGAAGTTTGTGTTAAGTCGGAAAAAGCCCTGGAACAAATAAATTGAAAGCTTTAGAGTTTTTCAGCTAAATAAGGTTTAATATTCTGAGCACAAAAAAGAATTACTATTTGGCATATGTAAACTTTTGTGTAATCGCTAAAAAAAACTACCCAAAACAGCAAAATTATTCATGACAAATTATATCATACAAACATGCAAACATGCTCGTAACAAGCCTCAAATGTTTTGATTACCCTTGAAACTTCCAATAAAAAAATTTTATTTCAGATAAAAAAGTTGGAGAAAATTCTTTTTCCCAATGCGTTCTCTCCTGTCAAAACTCCGCTCCCAACGCTTTCTAAATCATGAAAAATTCGTTTGAACCAACTGTTTTTCCGTTTCCACCCCACGTGATCTAAAGCGCTATAGAATGGGTAGATTCAGTTGTTTTTCAAATAAAATTTTATATATTAACCTATATTATTACATATTTTGAAAAAAAAATAAAAACTTCTGACTGATTTCAGAAAACTGTGAAAAAACTAGGTTGCACAAAAAAAGCTTTTTCTGAATGTCAAAAATGATTTAAAAAGAAATCTCCTCGAAAGAAAACTTGTTTGTCCTTTTCCTGGACACTCAAATCAATCAGCGTAGCCTTTGTTTAAGATTTTTGAGAGACTCTTGAGAGAATCTTCAATTGATTGACAATTTAAAACTTTTTACACCAGTTTGAACGTCATTTTAGAATAATAAAGATTCTATCTAAAATGTTGGGACAATTAAAATGCCTGAAAGACTTGAACAAAAATTTTGATAGGAAAGAAAAAAGCAATCTAAAATATGACAGCATGCTACGATGTTATCTGAACTTTTGACTAAATAGAACATATAGCTCCTGTATCAAATACTGTAGTACTTAAATTAATTGAAATTTCACTCAAAAACCAACCAACAAACCAAGCATTCAATGGCGTTACCAATAAAGAAGAACGAGATCTGATAAGTTCTTTGTAACGTATTATTGGAATAAATCATGATTCATAACTTAATCAACTGAAAGTTCGATATATAAAAAAATTTGATCGGAATACTAGCTCTGCAAAATAAACTCTATTGAGACTAAATAAAATCAATAAAAAAACAAAGACTTAGTTTCGGACTGAGAAATTGCATGAAAAAACAGTTTGTGAATAGAGACAGAAAGAAATCTCGACGCTCCTTTTAAAACCTTTTGCATGCATTATCCAAAAAACCATGTATCAAAAAATCTAGAAACAAATAGAAACAATGAAGAATCAAGAATAGTGAGGAAAAATTAAAATAGCTTAATAATGAATTGCATCCCGCATTGATTGTGCAGAATCAGCCAATTTAGCAAATTTCAAAACAAACTAATTTTTCTAAATTGATCGAAAGACGTTTTATGTTTTGAAAACAAAAATGAAAGCTTCCAATAGACAAAAAAAACTGGTGTCAAAATGAATAGAAGATAGAAAAAATTCGGTTTGCCATACTAACTCGGCAAAACCAGAGTTCCTTCTTAGACTGAGGAAATCAAAAGCGATACCAGGACTTAAAATTGCAGACAGGCCTTGCAAAAGCCTATCCCCGCTATAAGTGTAAGTATGATTAACTATTTATATATTACCGCAGGAACTAATGCGCGAATTAGCTCTCTCAGACCAACAATGACCTCCTTCTAAATATTTTTTCTATATATCATCATTGAAAACAAAGCAGTATATCGGCAAATCGGAAATGAATTGAAACTAACAAGAAAAGTGAGAAAAATAGAAACTAACTATCACTTCTCAAGAAATTCACCCTTGAATATTTCGCTGCATATTTTTTCAAAAAAAAACAAACAAAAATTATTGGAGTATACTGAATTGGAAATAAATTCAAATTTTCCTCCACATGCGATGTAAAGCAGGAGGGAAGATTCATTTCGTGTCTATGGACGTCTTATTGATACCAAACTGCGAGTCTCTTTTCTGTTAGGAAAATTTAATTTCACCTCGTACACTTTAGTAGGTTGAAAAATATCCAGTTTTAATTGTCGAAAATGGCCAAACTAGTAAGATCTACAACTTTACAGTAAAAATCGTTAAATAAGTTTTCTGAATTAAACCATCCACTTATTTTATAGGATTAGAAATTTTTTTCTAATTTGATAGCTAGGAAGCAAAAAAAAAATCACACCGAGCTCAGTTTTCTTGCTAAATTTTGCAAAAATCGGAATAGAAAGTACTTAATTCATTTCTAAGTAGTTCGATAGAATCACCTTTAATAGTTTCGGCACTGCTCAACTTCGATAGTTTCGTCCTGAGAGTCAATTATTATTTGAAACAAAACTGCTCGTATCAAGGCGAACTTAAAATTTTGCAACTGCCCTATAGAAATTAGGGAAGAGTTTCAAATTTAAATAAAATGAAGGAAAATTTCACAAGAAAACACAAAAAAATTTCACAAGAAAAATGAGAGAAAAAAAGGGATAAAAAAACCGGATGAAACTTTCACAAAAGCATTTCTTTCAGAAAAAAACTTGTTTGTTTCATTTATTTAAAAATTATAAATTTTTCCCAAAAAAACTGAAAAAAAAGAACGCTTTTTGTAAAACCAAACGGGTGAAAAAAAGGAATGTGATCTTCAACAAAAGTGGAACAGTTTTTGTAATAATCACTCCACGCGCCATAGAAAGCACAAAGCAATAAGTTTCCTTTTTATTAGTCAATATTTCGACTGAGCGCGGGATAATATTTTTCTGAGAACCAAAACCATAAAAAAAATTATCAAAAACTATCCAAAAAACTAGTGCTAAGCTCATTAGTAATCAGGAACCAATTTCTCAAAGAATGCTCAAAATGGCCCCTGTGTCCAAAATGCTGATCAAACAATTGTCTGAGGGGACTATTTTCTAGCATTTTTTGCGATGAAGATTTTAAATCGTGTTTCCAAAAAAAACCGGTAGCAAATTGTTGCCGCTTATGAACTCTCACTTTTCATTGAATTGGACAATAAGGTAATAAAAATAATAAAATTGTTTGCAATGTAGATTCCATTCACTGTAATCTTTCCTACATTTTTAACCAAACGAAATTTTATGCGCGAACGCCGTTGAACTTTGCAGCCCGTTTTCAGGCGCCTCTGATCCTGCTTTGACTTCTGATGTTTGTAAAATCCATATTCAATCAAAAAATCAATAAAAATGATTTAGTGAAAAAAAAAATTAACCAATAAAAGGGGAAATTTCAGCAGTATATCTACCCTTGACAAAAAATTCTTCTTAAATTTTATTTTCACTCGAAAATGAGTTTCCCCAGTTGATTTTTTTCTAGAAAAAATTATCTAAAAGCACACGATGGAAGATTTGTAATTGATATTCTGTGCATCACTGAGCCCAGGTTACAAAATCTGGCTAGTATTTAAAAAAAAATCTGAAAATTTTTCTAATTCTAACAATTATTGAAGTTTTTTGATTACCCTTTGAAAGCACAGGTATCTGCCCAGATAAAAATCTCTTATTCAAAATTGTATTCAAGTTTTTCTCAGTTACAGTTTCCTGGCCGATATGCACTATTTTCTCACAACCTTATATTGTAACTTCTTTCTAGACATTTAATTTTCTTACGAGGTATATAGTTTTTTGTCTTCTATGCTCTCAACTCTTCTCTTAAACAAATGGTTTTCAAAAGTCGTTTGATTTTAAGTTCAATCGTATCTATTTTAGTTTTGTCTGTTGATGCAATCAGCCAAAAACCCCGTCTGTGTAGTAATAATCTGGATAATATTTAAGAACAAATCTGAAAATTTTCTAATTCTAACAATTATCGAACTTTTTTGATTACCCTTTGAAAGCACAGGTATCTGACCAGATAAAAATCTCTTATTCAAAATTGTATTCAAATTTTTCTCAGTTACAGCTTCCTGGCTTCTGGCCGATATGCACTCTTTTCTTGCCACCTTATATTGTAACTTAATTTCTGAACATGTATTTCTTTACGAAGTATATATATTTTTGTTTTCTATGCTCTCAATTCTTCTCTTAAGCAAATGGTTTTCAAAAGTCGTTTGATTTTAAGTACAATCCTATCTATTTTAGTTTTGTCTTTTGATGCAATCAGCCAAGAACCCCGTACTGTTAAATGGTGTCCACATAAGCGGTATATGCTTTCAGTCGTCGATCTTTACCGTTTTTCCCCCTCTGGTGAGACTCTATCAATTGCACCACTGCTGCTGTTGTTAACCTCAATAAACTTTCGCTTCGATCGCAATTGGCTCCATTTTTTTTGAAATCAGCCAAGCTATTGACTTTTATGCGCATTTTAGTTCCATTTTCACCTCTAACTGCAGATGACACAATGCTATTGTTGGTCACCATTTCCAACCCCATGCGAACAGCAGTTGCCTTGATCTCGGTGTCAGCTTTTGGTAATATTTCTTTCAAAATAATAAACTTTTGGTTCATTAGGTTGACCTTTTTTCTAAGAGCCCTACTATTTTTCCAGACTTGCGATTTGTCCTCGTAGTAAATGAGTTTACATATTACGCTGTGAAAGAAAATACTTGTATCACCAGACAGCACAAAGCAGGCTTTCACACCTTTATACTTGATTTTTTTCCCAAGAACTCTTGAAAAATTCAGTGTTTCCATTGTTACGTCTCTCACATTGCGCGCATCGTAGGGAGGATTCAATTTTAAAATGCTATCTCAAATATCTTTCCTGAGCAAGTCCCTCAGTTTTTTTTTTGGTTTTTTCTCGAACTCTTGAATACGTAATTGTTGAGCACACGAAATCGTTTTGAGTTCATCAAGTTCGTTTTGTAACTTGCTCACCTTAGTGTCACTTGTTTTACTCACGGATCCTCGAGCAGGAGTGGAGCTGACAGCCGTTCCCACCAAAACAAATTGTTGTTACACATCCATGATCGATAATCCGTCAAAGAATTTAAAAAAAAATAATTGTAAATTTTGATAACAAAAATTAGGAGAGTTATTAATTCAATAAAGTCGATCGGAAGAGTTTTTAATAGATTTAAGCTCAATCTTCATAACTTATAACTTATAACTTCACAACAACCTCAAGGTTCATAACAATCTATTTCGTTTATCAATGTCAATTTTTAGAATTCTTTTTAAACGAAAATTTTTGGCCAGAAAGAGAACGCGCAAAAGGTTTTGTTTCATTTCAAGTTTCAATTCAAATTTTTGTCTTTTTTCTTCTTGGGGTCAGCCGACTGTTCGCTTTAAGTTTCTTGCGTTTTTCAATGATTTTGATTAACAAATAGCAAGACTGTGCAAATCAATGCCAAACCCTGAAGTTCAAGTGAAAATTTCTGATAACTGACCGTGGATTGTACTTGACCGTGGATTGTAAAAAATGGGCTCTTACTTGACCGTGAGTCCTCTTGGTCTGTTTTTACCATATGTTTTGGGAACAAGTCGCAGTAAAATTAGGCGCATTTAGCCCCTCCACATGAAAAAAAAAACAGGCAAAAATTTCAACACTATTACCTTGGATATCTGTTTGGATTTCATATCAGGATTTTTGTATTTTTCCAAGACGACTGGACGAAGGGTGTCAAATATCTGGCTGACGCTGCTTTGAAGGACGGACATAGAAACCCCTTAAAACTGGGCTACTGTGCTGCAATAAGCAAGGATGCGGAAGCAATCAAACTTGCAGTTGACTTTTGCAACGCTCACGATATTTTGACACAGGAGTTTCACTACTGGCTCTCTGTAAACCATCTATGTGGGACAAGAAAAATGTCCCTGCTAAGCTATTTATGCAGTGCTTTCGATTTCAGTGGTAACGACTACGACGACCAAGCAGCAAAAGAAAACGCCGTTGCCTCTCATAGAAGTATAATAGAAGCCAAATGGCCTTCACAGATGCTGACTTACAGGTGTGTAAAGTAAATATATATAATCGTAACAGAAAATGACGCGCACTGTTAACTTTTGGTAAAAAAGAGCGGAAATGCGTGGAAAAGTTTTTTAAAATATTCTTAAGTGTATAAGTACCTAGTAGAGGAGCAGTTTATTTTGGAGCAAGGACTGATTCATAAACCTCGATAGATTCAATTGCTGAAACTTTTTTCCTGCTTAAATTGTTAAAAATATACTCTCGGAGCTTTCATCCTCGACGTCAGATGGCATGGAAAACAATATCTGCCCTTTTTGATTAAAAATACAGCTTTTTTGACCAGCAAGTTTTTTTGACAAGTAAGTTAATTATTCATATTGATTTTTGAATTTTTTTATCGCGTGAAATCAAGCTCGCAATTAGTTGGTATTTATCTTAAGAAGTTTGACGGCTATTATTAAATAATTTTATTGATATTGATAACTTCTTAAAAAAACTCATGTCAATTTGAAATAGGATAAATTATTGAGCATAAATGAAATGTGTTTTATAGGATGGGGGGGAATTCTTTACAAGGTAAATAGAAATCACATGGAATGTTGTAGAACTCCAATGCCTATTTGATAAACGAGTACGATAAGTGTATAGATTCATAAGGCAGAATTTTACGGATTTCAGTCAGGTTTGAAAAAAATTCAATACCACGAAAAGTATTCTGAGATTAAATAATATAAGATGCTGTTCATAAGATATTGCTTATGAGAAAAATTTATTTCCAAATCACTGACCCGGGAAGAAAACTTGTGACTCGAAAAAATGGTAGACTAACGGATCCAGAGTTAGGCTCTGCACTACAAGGTTCATGTGTAAAAACCATTAAATTATTATCGCTTGATTTCAATTACTTCCAGTCATACTTTACTTTCGGAGGATTAAGTTGAAGCATCGTTTTCAAAGACAGTGACAAAATTTTATGTTTATGCCCACAGTCAAATATTTGAAAGTTAATGAGATAGCATTTGAGGTCACATGATCTGGATTTGGCATATTTTATATGAAGAGAAAACACTCGAACAAGTTTTTTAATCACACATAGTAAGTTGATGTTCATGCATGTGGTCAAAAAATTAATTGTTATTGAGAAAGCAGATAGTATAATCTAACAATTATGAGTCACATTACATATTATGAGATAAAAACAAAAAAAAACAGAATTATAGGATAAAGTCACTTGAATTTGATGAGTCAAAATACTCTTCTACACTTGTTTCAATGGTGGAGAATTTCTCTTTAAAAAAACATAGTTTTCTATGCTAAGCATTTTTTATCTCCAAGTTTATAGTCTGAAGGTCGTGGAAAATTGTTGTTCAGCCCTTTATCCTTGAGAAAAAGTACAGCGCGATCTAGCTCAACCACGCTTGCTCACTCACAAGCTACATGAACTTAAATCGATACCAGAAGTAAGGCGACAAAATGCAAACACAGAAAAACTTCATCAATCACATTTAAAATATAAACACAAATTCAAGCAAAAAACTTGAATTTAAAAAAGGAAAACAATTGAAAAAAAGCTTCCAGAATACAGAATACAATACTTATCAAAACTCCAATCACAACCTGAAAAAAATATATACCGCAATCGAAATAAAACGGAAAATCAATTTCAATGAAACCATTAACTCAAAACAGAAACTCAATAAGAATGAACATTAAGTTATCTAAAGGCTAGCGTTCGTTTCGCATTTTTAAATTTCAAAATGAATGAAGTTGTTGCTTTTTCTGATGAGTAATCAAACATAGAGAAAACCGAGATCAAATTTTTAAATTCAGAGTCTATTTTTTTAGTAAGCTCAGGAAATACTTCATATCAAGTTGGCGACATCTCGACTATTACAATCATCTAAATTATAACGCACTCAAACGTCGCAGGCGTAAGAAGGCAAACACAATCTTATTATACAATTCCAGACATATTGAAGCTTTTGTAACTTAAACAGCACCACCTAGAGGCAAACAGTACATCAAAAAAAAATTAGGTCATTTTCATAAATTTTAAATTTAGTTTTTCAAATCCCTATCTAACTTGAACTGCTTAGTATTTTTCTTGGTCTGAAAGCGCAACCAACCCAGTCAAAATAACAACTCCAATATTACAATGTAAAACCATTGTTTTAGCCAAAAAAATCTACCGGTATTGCCTAGCAAAACAAAAAATCTTACACCAAAAATCGAAAATATATGAAAACAATTTATCTAATCATAATTCATGACACGAGTTTTAGCCAAAAGAATATAAAAATGATTTCTTTAGACTACCTTATATTTAAAAATTGTGAAATCAAAAACCAATCCTACATTTAAAAAACTATCGGCAGAACAAACACCAGCCATCAACCATATTTCCCAGTTACATTTTTTTCCAATATTCTAGTTTCAACAATTCTTGATACTTTTTTATTTTTAGCTTCATTACTAATGGAAGCAAGTTAAATTGAATATCGCTCTTCTTTTCCTCAACCGACACCTGTACTATAACTGTTTCTAAAAATTTGAATATTCTTCTCAAAACTTTCCAAGATAAAAAAACAATAAAAAATTTTTCATGATAGATGAAATGTTGAAATGTTTTCATTAATCAAAAATTATTGGTTCTAGCACTCATACTTTTTTATTTCAGCAGCAATTTGTTTTTATTTTGTTACAGCATCACCAGACGTTTTAGAACCTCTGAAAACCTACGAAACAGAAGTTTTCAGATTTGCAATTTTCATTTTTACGAAAACCGTTATAAATGACCCTCTCCATTATTTACAAAATGGAAAAAAAAGAGGAAAAACCCGCCATGAAGTTACCGGCCTCACCCTCATAAAACAAATGTGTCGAAAACGCAAAATCATCCAATTTCGATAATGCAAGTTTCTTAATCCGACACCGATAACTTCGTTACCGTGTCATCCTTACCACACAAAAAAAAACATTCTTTAAAATACAGCAAGCAATGGAAACGTTGTAAGTAGAAAACCTATCTGTTCTAGATCACACTCTAGCAAAAACAAATATCTAAGACTTCTCACTAGCCAAGACATAAGCACTGATGAGCAAACCTCAAAAAAAAAACATTTTATTCAAAGTAAGCATTAGTACGAAATGTAAGCAGGATATTCAAAATCAATCAACTTCCGTTGGTACATTATCTGATCAGATATTCATCCTCAAACTGTCGCGAGGATCAAAACTAAACAAAGAAGTACACTTTTTAATCACTAAGTACAAGCTAGTACAAAGCAGATTCTTCACATTACGAGGCCAAACTGTGCTTTGGATAGGCGCACAATTTTGAATCTGTATTTTCCTGGATTCCAGAGACAAGTCATTAAACATGTTCCAAAACGTAAGTCAATTCCACGTACAAAATTGCAGTGGATTCCGCTCACAAAAACCTGTAAGGTAACTTTTGCCGGCAAATTGGTTTTATTGCGGATTCCGCAACGAGCAAATATAGGTAGTTGTTCCCGATTCCGCAAAATTAAGTGGATTCCGCAAATTTAGACGGATTCCGTTTACAATTTGCGGATTCTGCTCAGAATTTGCGGAATCCGATTACACTTTGCGGATTTTACTTACAGTTGAGGATTCCATGACAGCTAAAATATGATTTTCTTTTCACTTGGATACCACAAACGGTTCCGGATACCACACAATTGCCACTTTTTGGAGCATTTTGGAGCAATACATCTTTTAGCTTTTTGTTCGTGGAATTCAAAGAGAGAAATCAAAGAAAAAATTCAAAGTTGCGGAACCCGCTTAAAATTTGCAAAAAACACAATTTGGCCTCGTAAAGCAACTCGTGCAAACCACATCAATCTTAGCCATACTAGAATCTCATTCCTTTTGGAATCAAACTTGGCTCAATTTTTTGGTTACTTTTTGCAGTAACCTTACCCTCAAACCCTTCATTAATCACATCCTAACAACGCAAACACAGTTTGTATATAATAGATACAATACCATAAAATCTTCTACCTCACCCGTAATTGGAACAACTATATATAATAACCTCTTTTTTGAACTGATGTCTAAAAGCGGGATTCCATCCTTTTTTGTTGAGTTTCAAATGGTTCAATTCTGTCTGATAAACGATATGATCAAAGTGTGAGATGTATACTATTTTGCTTTGATGAAAACAATCGCGAACCACAACAAAAAAAACTGAAGAAAATCCAGCACGTTTTAAAGTTTAATCATATATACAAGCAAATTTCTACCATTTAAAACATTAAAAGAAGAACTTTTATTTGATTACAAAAAATTTCTAATCTGATAACTACTCGGGTTGACTCCCATAGACCAAAAACGCTAATCATACTTTTCCATAAAGTAATTTCTTGAAGAAGTACTACTCATACAATTCTCATAACTTTTGCTAAAATGGTGTCATCGATTTTTCAAAAAACTTTTCTTTTTTATGGCGTAAAGATTGGTGTATCGTACAAAACAGAAAAGAATAATAATTTGGCAAAAAATCCTAAATAAAAATTTCCATTTATGAAAACTGTATGAATTTGCACTCGAACAAACATTTTTCAAAACAAAACTTTTTGAATGCAAAATCATTCTTTTCACGCATTGGTTTTTTTTCCAATTCTCTGAATAACTTTTTCGAAACAGCAGAAACCTTTATTTCTGCGGTGAGGCATGTTTATCTATGCCTTGATCAATGACCGAAAAATTGAGAATCTAATTTCAAAAACAATAATCTTTGAAAAATTTGCCAAAATTTAAAAATTTGATGGTTTCAGTATCTGATTTGTGTAAGAAAATTCTCACACAATTTTTGTTTTAGCTCGTTTTCATTGCCCTGTATATGCAAGACAAACAAATCTTTCGTGACTTTAGTTTTCAGTAATCCATGATTTTTTTTTTTACTTGTGTTTTGTTTTGAGAAATGAAACCTTTTTGGTTTATGATACAATGCTACTCATACATTTTTCATTCATGAAAAAACAGTTTGCATAAAATTTGCTTGCGTTTTTCTGAATT